ATGTTCGCAGGATCAGTATTTGTGGTCCCCCAACAGTCTGCAAATGCCTCGAGAGCCTGCCAGCGCATTGAAAGTCTGCCAACATTCTGGGAGCCGCGCCCGCAGCTGTCTCGGCCCATGGCTTACAATAAAGTGTTCATAGGCCAATTGGCCCGGGGGGTGCCCCAGAAAGACCTCCGCGCACGCCTCGCCGATTGTGGGGCCGCCGACGGCATCGAGGAGATTCACATCGCGAGGGAGCAGCGCAACTTTCCAGGCCACGCTAGAGTGTTTCAGTGTGCCTCGAGTGTGTCTCGAGCGTTCCCCCTGCCTCTCTCCCCCCTCCCCCCCGCGGCCCCGAGGCCGCAGGGCCGTCGCTTTCGTGTGCTACGAGTCGGCGGAGCAGGCGGCGGCAGCGGTCGCCCTGACGGGCAGCTGGTGGCCGACGGTGCCCATCTTCAGGGCGTCTCGAGAGCGTCTTGAGAATGTTTTTAGTGCGCGTTGAGAGTATCTTGAGAGCGCCTTGAACTTCGCGCGGCGTTGCGTCGCTAAGTGTCGGACAAGTGCGTGCAGATTTCTTACGCGAAGTTGCAGGAGCGCATCAACCATGCTGACCTGCAGCGCGCCTTGGCTGAGCTCAATGTCGCGCTCGGGCAGCCGCAGGATGCGAGGGGGAGGAGGGCTGGGAGTTGGAGGACGAGGAGGAGGGGCGACGACGAGGGCGGTCGACGGGAGGAGGGAGGGCAGAGGGGAGGAGGGGGGGAGGAAGAAGGAGGAGGAATCAGGAACCAGGAGTCCCAGGACGGAGTCCAGAGGCGCCCCACAAGGATCCAAGAAAAGGGTTCCAGGAGAGCCAGGAAACACTCAGGAAGGTCCCTTGCGGGCCCTCTCCTTCCTGGGAGGAGGCAAGAAGGGGTGAGGAAGGGGGATGGGGGGGGGAGGTGCGGGCGATGAAAAAAAGGAAGGGCGGCGGACAAGAGGGCCAAACAGAGTTCGACATAAATGTCGAAATCTGTCGGGCCCTCTGGGGATGCTCTCGGGGCCCTCAGAGGGCCCAAGCGAGCCGCCCAAGAAAGCTCCAAGAGGGCCAAAAGCACCCCAAGAGGGCACCGGGAGCCCACCAAGAGGGCCAAGCAGATTGCGACATAAATGTCGAAATATGCCAGGCCCTCTCGGGTGGCTCTTGGGGCCCCCAAGAGGGCCTCAAGAGCCCAACAAGAGGAAGGGAGGAGGAAGAGAGGAGGGACTAAGCGGGGGAGATGCGAGGAGAGCCCCAGAGTGCCCGAGGAGTTGACGATAGACCTTGAGGCACTCTTGGCCAACGGGACGGCGATCATTGAGCGCTCGCGCTCGCGCGCGGCTCCTGTGCCGACAGGGCCGCCAGTAGCTTTGCGCCCGCCGCAGTGAGAGTTCTGGGAGGTGCAGTTTGCGTTGTCAGAGGTGTCTTGAGAGTTAGGATGTCTTGAGAGGTCGCCTTCTCTCCTCAGTTGCCTCCCCATCTCTCTTTCTCTCTCTCTCTGGATGCACTCGCAGCGTCAAACTGGCCGGGCCGAAACCTGGAAGTGGAGAACCCAGGGGGGCTGTTGTCTCCCAGGTTCCTCTTGCTGTTATTTTAGTGCTTGTAATGCCACAGTGAGTCTGGCCGATTGAGTCTGCGATTAAGTGATCAAGTGAGTCTGGCCGTGATCAAGTTATCAAGTCAGTCTGTGACCAAGTGAGTCACCAGGGCGTTGATTTTGGCCCAGAAGTCTCAATCTTTTGGCCCAGAAGTCTCGGTCTGAAGCAACGTTGAGTCAAGATTAGCTGGAAACATGAATGTGCAGAATCAAGTTTTGATGTCGAGTGTATCAGGAATCAAGGTTTGAATCAGTTTAGATCTAAACCTAACTGTTCGGAATCAAGTTGTGGGTTAGTGTAGATCTAAACATGTTTACTCGGCATCAAATTTTGGTTAAGTGTATATCTAAACTTGCCTGCTCGGAATCAAGTTTTGGTTCAGTGTAGATCTAAACTTGACTTCTCGTAATCAAGTTTTGGTTCAGTTTAGATTTAAACTTGACTGATCGGAATTAAATTTTGGTTCAGTTTAGATCGAAACTTGACTACTCGGAATCAAGTTTTGGTTCAGTTTAGATCTAAATTTGACTGATTTGAATCAAGTTTTGGTTTAGGTTAGATCTAAATTTGGCTGTTCGGAATCAAGTTTTGGTTCGGTTTGCATCGAAACTTGACTACTGCAATCAAGTTTTAGTGCAAACTCTATTGAGCTGATCAAGTTTTGATTAATGCGCGACTGAGTCAGTCAAGTTTTGATGCAAGGTGAAGCAAAACTTGATTCCGACCAGTCAAGTTTAGATCTAAACTGAACCAAAACTTGATTCCGACCAGTCAAGTTTATATCTAAACTGAACCAAAACTTGATTCCGACCAGTCAAGTTTAGATCTAAACTGAACCAACACTTGATTCCGAGTAGTCAAGTTTAGATCTAAACTGAACCAAAACTTGACCGCTCACAGTCAAGGTTTGATCTCCATTGAACTCATTATGCATGCTATACACGTGACCGAGAGCGGCTCAGGCCCAAACGGTTTCAGATTCAGGCGCATATCGGCGCTGCGAGCGTCTTTGGATTTCCATGCCGCAGAAGATGAGGAACCTTCGGCAGCAGAGGTAATGTATTCACTCGGTGCTGAAGTTGCTGACGATTGCGCGGAGACGCCAGATGTTGCAGATGAAGAAGAAGAAGGAGGCGAGGAGGAGGAAAAGCTTGAGCCGAGCGACATTTCGGAGGAGAACGACGAAGCGCCGCTCATGAGGCGGCCGGCAGCCGCCCCCAAGCGGCCCGCAGCCGCCGACGAGGACGGCGAGTACCAGGAGATGGAGGAGGAGGAGAACACCGAGGGCGAGGAGGAGGACTACGCGGTGCTGAAGCGGCCCGCTGGTAATATGAAGCGCCCTGCGGCTGCAGATCTCAGGGAGTCAGCGAAAGTGCGCAAGGTGCAGCAGATCTGGGGCACCCTCCCGCGGGACATCCAGGAAATATGGCGCGATGCGCACAGGCATCCAGACGGAAAGCGATCGCGAGAGACGGCCATAGTGAACAACATGTTCAAAACAGTAAACAACAAATTGGTGTTGAACACTGATAGTCCTTTCTTCGAGCGCGAACTGAAGGTTAAGAAAAGCAAGACGGGCACCGACGCGCACGAAGGAGTTCACAGAACTATCTTCGCCGAGACTTTCAAAGATGGCGACGCGGGCGTTCAGCAGGCGATGGGTTGTGGCGCCGTCAAGGAGTGGAAGGTGGATGGGCAACCATACTGCGCGATTCGCAAGGTGACAGTCGAGAGCAAACAGGCTTTAGAGCACGCGAAATGCTTGTCTACGAGTGGGCCAGCGACGAAAGAGCAGGCAGCTGCCATCGAGAAGGCTGCCCGTGAGATGTCCTTCGGTTTCAGCCTCGAGACGGGCGGCGCCTTGAGCCTGGCCGACGGCATGGCGTCTTCATCCTCTGGTGAGGTTACTCAGACGACGATCGACAAGCTCAGCCAGGCGCTGGTCATCGTGTAGCAGCAGATCAAGGAGCGCGAGAAGGCGTACGGCAAGCTAAACTCCAACGCGGTGAATACGCCCACGGTTCGGAGGCACATGCAAGACCTAGAGGACTACGTCAACCAGCTATCGGAGGCGAAGACCGAGATGTCAAAGATGCTCCGCTTCAAGAAGTGCATGGATGGCTCCGCCGTGACCGCGCCGAAGGTGCAGGCCTGCATCGCGAAGTCTGGGGGCCTTCTCGAAACAGTCGTCTCCGCCATTAAGGTGGCGAAGGCGCTGAGTTCCCAGGAGGCGCGAGGGCATGCTGCGAAGATAGGGAAAGGAGGTGGAGGAGGAGAGACGGCAGCAAGGGCGGAGGGGAAGGATGCGAAGGACGAGGGTCAACCATAGTAGGTAATAGTAGGACGTCGTATGATAATGCTAGGTCGTAGCAGTAAGTACTAGTCGTAAGTGATACTAGGTTGCATTATGTAGTATCATGTAGTGGCCGAAAGTAGTTCGCACTAGTAGGTGAGTGGGTAGTAGGAGTAGTAGTAGCAGTAGTAGTAGTAGTAGTAGTAGCAGGATTCGTACGAGTATTACTAGCAGTAGTAGTCCTAGTAGTAGTCGTAGTAGTAGTAGTAGTAGCAGCAGGAGTAATAGTAGTAGTAGTAGCAGCATCAGTAGTAGTAGTAGTAGTAGTAGTGGTAGTAGTAGTGGTAGCAGTAATATTAGTAGTAGTAGTAGCAGCAGGAGTAATAGTAGTAATAGTAGTAGCAGCAGCAGTAGTAGTAGTAGTAGTGGTAGTAGTAGTAGTAGTAGTAATTGTAGTAGCGGTAGTAGTAGTAGTCGTAGTAGAAGTTGTAGTAGCAGTAGTAGTAGTAGTTGTTGTGGTCGTAGTAGTAGTAACAGTAGTAGTTGTAGTAGTAGTAGTAGTAGTAGTAGTCGTAGTAGTAGTAGTAGTAGTAGTAGTAGTCGTAGTAGTAGTAGTAGTAGTAGTAAGGGTAGTAGTAAGGGTAAGAGTAATAGTAATAGTAGAGGTAGCAGGGGCAACCACGAGGACGGCGAGGAGGAGGAGGAGGGTGATAACGATGAGGAGGATAATGATGACACAACGACTTGCAAACACTGAAAGCTCTCTTTTCGCAGCTTCCCGCGATCCCGCCCGGTGCGCCCGATCAGAGACCAGATCATGGGCAGGAACGCGGTGCCGCCGATAAGCGTCTGAGCTACAAAAGAAAATGCCAGTGCGTGGACCCGCGTTTCGAAGGGCCCACAACAAGTCTCCCGAGAGCGTTTCATATTGTATGATGATTGCTTGAGAGTGCGTCTTGAGAGTGCTACTTGAGTTCCGCGCAGCGTGTGCCTTGACCGTGTTTCTGATAGTTTTTCTTGGGTGATTATTTTGAATGTTCCTGGGAATGTTGAATGTTCATGAGAACGTAGCAGCAAGGTCGCAAACAATGGTTTCGGCATTGGCCCTATCAGAGAAGTAAGAACACACGTTAATGCCACGGGTCACATGGTCCCTCATGGTCCCCATGCAATGAGTTAGTTCTGCCGCTAAGAAAGATGATCGCCCTCCCCCTCCTGTAAAGATACCGGAAACATTATTTACTTGGGCGATTCAGGGAATCCCCAAAGATCCTAGGAAGGGAGGAGGAAGGGGGGAGGGAGGGAGGAGGAAGGGAGGAGGAAGGGAGTAAACAGGGAGGAGGATGGGAGGGGGAAGGGAGGAAGGGGGGAGGAAGGGAGGAGGCAGGGATGAAGGGAGGAGGAAGGGAGGAGGAAGGGAGAAAGGGCAATGAAAGGGGGTGGAAGGGAAGAGGAAGGGCGGAGGAGGAGGAGGATGAGGACATGTCGGCAACGCTATCACCATCGCTTTCGACACAGTAGACTTGTGCCAGAGCGCCGCTATCAACATGCTGACGAGATAGCTGCCACGCAGATCATCTTAAATATTATCGTCATCATCATCATCATCATCATCATCAACGTCATCACCAATAAGACACCCAGTGCCATCACGGCCATTATTCTTATTGTCGCTGTCGCCATGCCCCCGCAGCCGTTTCATTTCAAGGAGCCCAGCATCTCTGGTCACAAGGTTCGTCGCGACATGATGGATATTGGCAGGAAGGGGGGGCGCAGGCAGCGCGCCGCGAGATCGCTGAATGCCGCGTCCACGGTGAAAGAGGGCAGCAAATTGGCCAAGTACCTTGTCGCTGAATGGTCATGGGGCCGCCTCTCACCCCAGGAATTGCAACGCGTGGCTCAGTTGTTGAAATCTGATCTGGCTGCTTGCGCGGCGGGGAACCTCGACGCCCGCAGCGTTGACTTCCTGGCGAAGTTGGGTTCTGAAGGCCGCCATCCGCAGAATATGCATGCCGAGCTTGTGAAAGCACATGCCCCGACATCTTTTTCAAGTTTCCCCTTTTAGAGCTCCTCTGAAGGATTCCATCACGGGGCTACTATGTTCTTCTTTTTTTATCTCTTCCACTTGTTGTTTTGTAAGCCTCTTTTGCAACAACTCGCTTTTCATTTTCATCTCTTTTTTCAATCCTTCTTTCTTTTCTTTTTTTCCTCCACCTGCCCCTCTGAAGGATTCCATCACGGGGCTGCACCACAAGTCATTGGACATGCTCTGCCCGCACATCCTGTTCAGTAACATGCACCATGAATACCCCCATGCGTTTCAAGAATGCAGTTGCCCTTCTGGGGCTGCCCGGGAAGCTTTCTGGCCCGATGTCAAAGATGTGGATCATTATTTGCGGCATCCAGTTCGCCGCAGGGCTGGCCACGAGAAATGGTGCGTGCCCATCAGCATACACGGGGACGGAACACCCATAACAGGAATTGGGAAAGCATGGGGTCGACTCATGGACGCGTGGAGTTGGCAGTCCTTGGTCGTGTTCGGCCCTACGATTGCAACGCAGTTTATCATGGTTTCACTATACTGCAATCCAAGCATCAGAAGCTGTAGGCAACACCATGCAGGCGATTTTCAAGAAAGTGAGGTGATCCTTGGAGGCGCTGTGGGAAGGAAGGTGGCCAGACCATCATGAAAATGGTCTCCCGATGCCCGACGGCTCGCCCACGGGGCCCCTCGCGGGAAACTTTTACGCGTGTTGTTGGGGGTTACTCGGAGACCTTGATTATTTCTTCAAGTATCTGGGCATGCCTGAATTCAACTCGGCTGGGCATCCGCGCGGTTGGTGCGCACGCAATTCTACGACGGCCCCTTGGTTCGACTTCAGAGCCAACGCTGATTGGATGTCGACGGTGTGCACAATAGAGGCGTGGCGGGCCATGGGCGCGCAGAACCAGCATCAGCTTTTCTCAGCGCCTGGAGTTTCGATATTATCAATCACGCCAGATTGGATGCATATCAAGCATCTCGGGCTCGACGAGCGGCTGCGTGGTTCGGTGTTGTTCTGTTTGGCGCATTGCGTCACGCGCGGAATCCCCGAAGCGAACTTGGCGACGCTGCGCAAAGATATTTGGGAATATTACAAGACCAACCGCGTGAAGTGCAAATTCAGCCAGATCAAAATGAGCACGTTCACCACGCGGTCCAGAGGGAACTTGCGCGGCAAGGCGGCGGAGGTCAAAGGCCTTGGCCCCGTCTTGCGACAGCTCTGGGATCAGCACATGAATCCCAGATTGGAACTCCACAAGAAAATCAAGTTACTCCCCCAGCCCAGCGTCGACCTCGACGCGGACATCGATTCGCTCGAACCCAATCGCGCGTGCATGCTTGCTGACAGGAGAACTGAATTATTGCGCCGTTGCCAAGCGCTTTTGGCGTTGCGGGGGGATGTTCAGCACGCGTTTACAGATGGCGACGAGGACCCTGATTTCCAGCTCTTCCACATCACGATCAAAGCCCATTTCTTCATTCACTGCTGCCTCCTTCCGTGGAATCCGCGGCGAGCGTGGTGCTACCGAGGGGGGGATCTCATGCAGCGCGTGAGGCGCTTGGCATTTTCGTGCAGCAAGCGCTCCCCACCCGGGCAGGTAGGGAACACATCCTCAAGAAATACATGGCCGCCCTGCGTTTCGAACTCGAGAAGTTGCGCGCTGCCTGAAGAACTTCCCCCCCCCCCCCAACAGGCAGGAATCTTTGTCTTGGCGGGAAACGAAAAAGATGCCTTGAGGGTTCTCGCCCCCCATATCTTGGCTGCACAGGGGGAGGGGGACGAGGAGGAGGAGGAGGAGGAGGAGGAGGAGGAGAGGAGGTGGAGGAAGTCGAGGAGGGGGAGGGGGGGGGGGGACAAGCTAGGTGCGCTCGCGTCAAAATCTGACATGCTACCCCTCCCCCCCATCTCTTCCCATTGCGCTACTTCATTATCCTCTCGCCGAATCGGGTGTCGCATCTGACCTTCATACCTAGGAGGGAGAGGACGACGACGGCGACGACGACGAAGACGACGACGACGACGACGACGACCTGCAACGATCTTCGTCGTGGGGGAGGAAGAGAAAGAGGCCAGGCTTACACAATATTGGTTCTTGCTTTTCTGCATGAAAGGAAATCTGATGTGATGTCACGAGAACTTTCGCGCGTTGGCGCGTGTTCGAACTGGCGCCCGACCTCGCGTCAATGCGTGTGAGTGCGCGCGTGGAGGAGTGTGCGCGTGTGCGCGCATGTGTGCGTCTTTGCGTGCAGGCTTGCACGCGTGCGCGCGTGCTTGCGTGCGTGCGTGCGTGCGTGCGCGCGTGCGTGCGCGCGTGCGTGCGCGCGCTTGTGTGTGTGTGTGTGCATGTGCGTGTGTGTCTACGCGTATGCGTGCGCGCCTATTTGCGCGCGTGCGTCGCCGATTTGCGCGCGTGCGTGCGTGTGTGCGCGCGTGTGCGCATTCGCGCAAGTGCGTGAGCATTTGGTTAATATATCGGTGACGTTTTCTGTTGTTGTTTATGTTGTTTATTTGCGTTGTTTTGTTACTTTTAAAAAATAGAAAATAACATTACCGTAGCCCCAAGATGTAGCAGACTAATTAAAATAAACAATATCTTAGCGCTGACTGAATTCAGGA